CAAACTCTTAAGAAGTATTGTAATTCAATGTCTACCAACAGCGACGAGAGGGACAAAGCTAGGTTAGGTATAATTTGACACATAAGCTGCAAAAGAGAAATGGGAACGAAGCAGTAGAGTCTATCATAGGGCAAATTTGATTCATTGGATGCTTTAAGCGGCCAACAGGGAAAGAAAAAAAACAGGTCATTCCCGGTCCTCCCTTTCGCCATTGACGATGACGAATTTGGTGGACCAATCACCGATGTATGAATACACTGAAGGAAGCCAAAATTTCAGGAGAGCAAGACTTATCGAGAGGAGGAAGACACCAGGTTCTTTATCCGGTGGGCTGTGGGCAAATGGCCGGAAGAAAGAGGAGCAGAGCACGATGAGGCTGGAGGACGGCGGCGGGAAAGAGTTGCTGAGGACGGCGACGGCGGTTCTTGATGCAGCTAGCGGTGGAGGTCGGCGACTCGGCGAAGGTTGATGCTGGAGGACGACGGCGCCGCTCGGTTGTGGGAGAAGGAAGAAGGCGCCGCCGGCGCAGCTGCGTTGTGGGAGAAGGAAGGAGGCGCCGCCGGCCGCTTTGTCTTGAAATGGTTGTGCTGCTGCAGAGTAGAGAAGAAGAATTAGGGTAAAATGAAACCCTCGACCTCGAGTCGACAGCAGCACCTCACCCATTCCGGTCTGATTTTTTTATTTTTTTTTATTTGAAACACCTTAAAACGGCGCCGTTTTGGCTCATTTTGGCCATTTCCGGACTGCACTCAAAATCGTATAAAAACGGACATTAAACGCGTTTTTAACGTTTTTTCCGCTTTTACCGCTTTTACGACCGTTTTTGTGCGATTTTATATACAATGCGAATTCAAGTAGAAACTAAAGCGTATTTGTGGGTTAAAATGGTAAAAACGTACGTTTTTACGCTTTAAAGCGCGATTTTGACAGCATTGCTGGATGTATGTATTAGTTGGAGTAGCAATGTATGCTACTGTACTTTTGTGCATGCTCCCACCACAGCGGTGGAGAGAAGAGCGTTTTGGGAGAAACTCACTTCCTTGAGGGAAAGGGGGGATGAGGATTGGCTGCTTGTAGGGGATTTTAACGCTGTACTGTCAGACTATGAGAAGCAGGGGAGATGCCCCATTAGAAATGAAAATCGTGCTTCGTTCAAGTACTTTGTGGATCAGAATGGCCTTATTGACCTGGGGTTTATTGGACCGATCTTTACCTGGAAGAATATGCAAAGAGGATTGGATGGGATTAGGGAGAGACTTGATCGAGCTCTCTGCTCCCCCTCTTGGGGCCTTAAATTCGACAGAGCAAAGGTTTTTCACGAAATTTTTGTTGAGTCTGACCATTGCCCCATCAGAGTGGATTTTGACATGCTGGAATCAAAGAGAGAAATCCCATTCCGATTTGACAAACGATGGAGGTTTGAGGAGGAGTGCATAAACATTGTTAAAGAATGTTGGAACATGGAAGCTGATGTCAGCAACAGCCTAAATAGTTGCAAGGCTAATCTAGAGGAATGGGTGAAGAAAGATAGACAAAGCAAAGTTCAGAGGGAAGAGGAGATCAAGAAGAGAATGAAACAAATTCAGGAGTCGGATGACTATAATGATCACCTAGAGGAAGAGAACCAGCTCGGGAATGAGCTAGGTATTATGTGGGCTAAGGAAGAGAAGTTCTGGTTACAGGTGTCTAGAGTTAAGTGGCTACAAGGAGGAGACCAAAATTCAGCTTTTTTCCATGCAGCTTGCATTTAGAGGAAGAAGATCAATCGGATAAATAGACTGAAGAATGGGGAAGGAGTTTGGGTTGATAACCAGGATTCTCTCAAACACTTGGCCACAGAGTTCTATCGCAGCCTTTTCAAGGCTAGGGATATTAGTGATCTTAGTTTTGGGTTGGAAGGTTTCCCACCACTGGTCTCCGATGATATGAATTCAGACCTGGGGAAGGAATTGACAAATGTGGAGATAAAAGAAGCGGTTTTTTCCCTGGGTGCCAGCAAAGCCCCAGGGCCTGATGGCTTTCCAGGTCATTTTTTTCGTAGGTTCTGGTATATTTGTGAGCCCAAATTCTGTGAGGAAATTCGTTCTTTCTTCAGGACATCTAAAATCCCTGCAGGATGGAATGACACTTTCATTACCATCATCCCAAAGGTTGACGCTCCAGAAGAATTGGGCCAATTCAGACCAATAAGCTGCTGCAATTTCAGGTATAAAGTAATAACAAAGATTCTGGCTTCCAGAATCCAGAAATGGTTGCCTGAGCTGATCAATGAAGTTCAATAGGCCTTCACAGGGGGGAGGCAGATCCAGGACAATATTGTGATTGTCCATGAAGTTTTGAACCACTTCAAGAAACATAAGACTGGCCGTAAAAGGGATATGATGCTTAAGCTTGACATGAAGAAAGCATATGATTTAGTTGAATGGAAATGCCTGCTACAGCTCCTAAAGGCCTATGGGTTCTCGGATTTATGGTGTAGTTGGATCGAGGAGTGCATTTCAACAGTCAAGTTCCAGGTTCTCTTCAATGGCTCCCCCTCCCAGAGCTTTATGCCTTCTAGAGGGATTCGACAAGGGGATCCCCTATCCCCTCTGCTCTTCATACTAATGACTAACGCCTTATCCTTCCTGGTGGAGAAGTTGATTGAGACTGGCCGTATAAAAGGACTCAAATTGAACCAGTACTGTCCTCGTCTCACCCACTGCCTTTTTGCAGATGATACGGTCCTCTTTGGAGAAGCATCTGTAAGAGAAGCCTCAAGTCTGAAACTTATTGTCAAGGAGTATGGTGCGGTCACAGAACAAGAGATCAACCAGTCCAAGTCTTCGGTGTTCTTTAGCCACAATGTTCTAGAAGAAGAAAAACAGGATATTAGGGAAACACTGGGCTTAGAGGAAGGGGTGACCCACGATAAGTACCTGGGAATTCCGATCTCGTGGGGAAGATCGAAAAAAGAAATGTTCCATTTTCTGATTGAGAGAATGGAAAAGAAAGGAGAACATTGGCAGAGCCTCCTCCTCTCGGCAGGTGGAAAGTAGGTCCTTCTGAAATCAGTCTTCCAAGCAATCCCGACGTATCTGATGTCCATTTTCCTGTTCCCACAAGCTACTACAAATAAAATGGATGGAATGCTCAGGAGGTTTTTCTGGTCGGGCTCAACGACAAAGAAAACAATTCACTGGAGAGCGGGGAATGTCCTGTATGCCCCAAAAGAGGAGGGAGGGTTGGGATTCAGGCCTTTTTCGGTGGTTAATCTAGCCCTGCTCACAAAACAAGCCTGGAGGGTGTTATGCTCACCAGATGCTCTCTGGGTAAGAGTTCTGAAAGGGCTTTATTTCCCAAGAGGAGATTTCTTGAGGGCTAAGAAAGGCTGTCGACCTTCATGGATTTGGAGTAGCTTATGCGAAACTAGGAAATGGCTCATGAAGGGGATTGTGAAGGTTATTGGGAACGGAGGGGGAACAGATTTTTTTCTGGACCCATGGATACCCTCCTCCCCTGGCATTACCATCAATTGCCAGAACCAGGATAGAAGAAGAGTTGAGGAGTTTATCAATCAGGAGAACCGATCTTGGAATCTTTCTGATTTGGAGGGTAGTATCTCGGAGGAGGTGCAGCAAGCCATAAGCAGGATTCCAATTGGATCACAGGGCATGGAAGATTTCTGGGCTTGGAGATTCACATCAAATGGTGAGTTCTCGGTTAAATCTGCTTTTCGGGCTTTCCATGACTCTATTCGACGGGGAGCTTCTGAAAGGACAGGGATCTCACAATGGGAGAAGGAAAGATGGAAATGGTTGTGGAGCTTGAATCTGCCCCCAAAGATCACCTTCTTCATTTGGAAAGCATCAAGAGGAGCTCTGGCCACCAAGAAAAATCTGTTTGAAAGACACTGTTCAGGATCTAAGGCTTGCCCGTTGTGTAGGGCGGAAGAAGAATCCATTTACCATGTCCTTTTTGAATGTCCGCATGCGAAGGAAACTTGGACACGGATTGCCCCCTCTCTCCCCCTTCCTCCACCGACGACAAGAGTTAACTTTTGGCTGTGGGAGGTTGGTGAAGCCTGGCCACAGGAGGGCCCTCATAACGCAATCTTTATTCTGTGGAATATTTGGAAGGCCAGAAATGAGATGATCTTTAGGAATAGATCACCATGGCCACCACGCACCATCTCGCAAGCTATGAATGAGTTCCTCTTCTGGAAGAACTGCCCAAAGATTAGAGGAGAAGATAATGGTGTGTCCCGTCGGCCTATTCCACCTCCTTCCCACCCTACACCACCGCCAAGCGCAATCACCGAGAGGAGATTCACTGTGATGGATCGTATTTTGACGATTCCCGGGAGGCGGCATATGGGTTTGTTGTTCTTAATACCCATGGTGAGGTTTACGAAGGAAGGGCTGATTCCCTGCTCTGCGAGTCAGCTTTGGAAGCAGAAGCGGTAGCTGTGTTCGAAGGATGCAAGTTTGCCCTGTCACTCCCCCAGACATGCACTATCAAATTTGACTGTAAGGTGCTGGTGGATGCGATTGAAGGGCCGAGACACAAATGGCCGTGGATCATAGCAGCACGTATTGATGCTATTTGTGAGAGTCTCCGCAGTTTACATGGAGTGAAGGTGATTTTTGTCAAAAGGGAATTTAATGTAATGGCCAATTGGGTGGCCCGATCAAGGGCAAAAAACCAACTCCCGAGAGACTGGATTGCAGTCCTCAATATCTTACTACCAATCCTGTAACCGTCCTCTGATTTATGGGAAAGCAGAGACTTATTGTAAAAAAAATAATAATAATAACATGCATCGATGCATATTCTATTATCATATTCTATCGCACTAAATCATTCCTAATCGAATTTTCGCTACATGCTAAAGGAACTATAGCTAGAATGTTAGTGACAAGAAATACAAATTTCATAATAAAGGTCACTTTTCACCATATTCGTTGTATTATATTATTAAACTTGGATTTTTTTTTGGTAGAATGTATTTTTTTTTTCTTCACATAATGGATTGAATTTTTATCTAGACTCTAAACGTAATCGAAAAAACTTGTAAGATCTTGAAATTAATGAATGAGTTTGTGTTTATTCTTATTGAACCTCAGACTCAATTGGTTGAGTGAGTGGCTAAAAATGTTCAAAACCGATCCAACTGAGCCAGATTTGATCGTCAACTCCCTCCTCCAATAGCTCACCCAGTCTCCTCCTCGCTGCTCGGTCCGCCTCTTCACCCAGCCCATAAGGAGAAGAGATTCGATACGAATCCATGTCTGTAAATCGGGAGAATTGAAGCTAATAATAATCAACTAGATTAAAGACAAAGCAGCGAAATTCAAAATCCACCTCGTTCGTTCCTCTTGATTCTCCTGAATTCAGATTCATTCCGGAGGCTGAGAAGCGGGAGCAGACGGACGGACTCCACTGGTCTGAGGTAAAATACCATCTGCTTCAAAAACCCTAATTGTTCATTGCCTTCCGCTTCTTTCTTGTTTGCATGTTTGGTTTCCGGGAAAATTCGGGGCTGCTGTGTCTGCCGTCGCTTTCTCCATTCCATTTTCCCTTATAGGTGAAGAAAGATTTTGAATTCTCTGATTCTTTCTCCGTTTCTCCTGTTTAAGAAAGATTGAGCTGAGCTGACGAGCTCTCTTATCAATTGACTGTAAAGGCTTGTTTCTAAAGTTCCATTTTCTTTCCAATTAAGCTAATGGATTTTGTTCTTGTTCTTCTCGGGTGATAGAATTTATCCTTTTTGTAGCGTGTTAAAGCTTGCAATTTTAATTTCTTTGTTTTGCTTCTTGTTAGGCTCAATTTGTTTGCGTTGTCTAACGTTGTAAGTGAGCTATTATTTTGCATTTTCAGCTAGGACCGAAGTTGTGCTGCTGCTTTCTTGGATTTGTCATTTGTTACATGAACTTCAAATGCCTTCTTCTAATTGAAAGTTTCTAGATGGAAACACTCACTTAAAGATATTGATATCTTCCTACATGGTAGATTTTGAAGCTTAACTTTTACTGTGACTGAAATTTCTACTCTAATTAATTTCCTTTGCATGTAAGTTTTGCAGTAGCTTGGTTTGTGGAGCTGATAAGAGGGGCAATACCATTTTGGGTGAAGAATATGGAACCTGGTGAAATCAGTGACAGCCCTGATCGGTGCAATTTGGATAGTACAAGTCAGGCTAACGAACTTGATCTACTACCAAGTTGTGATGATTTTCAATCTCACGATTTTGGAGGTAAAGAAGATGCAACAAATAGAGAAAACCTGTGCGTCAGTGGGGGTAATGTTGGCGCTGAAGCTAGCACAGAACATGCTGGTGGTGGTACAAGTATGGGAATCGAAGGTGGATCAGGTTGTGACAAATTTGTGAACAGTGGAGACAATGTTGAAACTCATAATGGCCAGGTTACCGAAAATATGAATGGCCAGGTTAATGATGAAACAGAAGTTGACATGGATTTGGTTGATTCGCCTGTGCATGTAAATATTCAAGTGACGGAAGTTTTTTCAGTTGAAGAGAAAGTGTCTAGCATGCTGAATGGTGAAAGCGGCAGCCTTGACGTGCCACTTGAGACTTTAAAAGGTGATGAAGGAGGGGTCTGGCATGCTGGTTGATTATTCTATGACATCTCATTGTTTAATTGGTTCTCCACTTGAGGTTATGTTTTAATTTTCCTTCTATCTTTCAGCTAGATCAGGGGTTAAGAGAGCTAGGATGACTTATGAACAACAGCAACCTTCAGTGCAGGTCATGTATAATTCTCTAACAAGGTCAGTAGCTACCATTGAAGGATTCTGAAAATGGTAATCATGTTGGTCATACTTAAGCTGATTTTGTCTCTCTAGTGGCAATGTGCATGTTATTGGTTGAGTATGCCAGATAATTTTTTTCTTTTCTTTTCCAGAGCTAGCAAAAAAAAGCTTGAGGAGCTATTACAACAGTGGTCGGAATGGCATACAACCAACAGCCTGTATCTAGTAAGTCTTGGATTCTTTTAACCCGTGAGTTTTCAATCTGTGCATATCTCTTGAAATCTCAAAGGGATTAAAATGTATAATTATGGCTTTCTTTTGGTGAAGAATAGCTAAGAAGATAGTCTGAACCTATTGGATGTCCTTGAAGGGACGAATATACTGTGAACTTATAGGTTAGTTTTTGGTCTAGAATGGTTCATTATATTTCAGATGCAGCTCCTGTAACTGCATGTCATATAGGTAATCAATATGGCGGTGTGTTGCCTTTAATAAAATGCGAGGTTAGATGGATTCTTTGTATGGAAGAAGGAATTATCTAACTCCTGTTAGAGAGTGGTATAAGATCAACGATTGAACCTCTCCCAACAACTCGAGTTATTGGGAGCAACTGGTTCATGACATGGTATCAGAGCTTAGAACCGAAAGGTCATGTGTTCGAATCTCCACGACCCCCAATATTAACCGTTGTCTTTCAAGCACATGGTATGGTGGGCCTGTGCAAACTTCAAGCCCATGAGTTGGCTTTCGTTTGAGGGGGCGTGTTAGAGAGTGGTATAAGATCCACGATTGAACCTCTCCCAACAACTCGAGTTATTGGGAGCAACTGGTTCTTGACGTTATTGGGAGCAACTGGTTCTTGACATGGTATCAGAGCCTGCTGTGACCGAGAGGTCTTGTGTTCGATTCCCGGTGACCCCCATTTGTTAAGCACATGGTATTCTTGTCTTCAGACCTGTGCAAACTTCAAGCCCTTGTGAGTGACTTTCGTTTGAGGGGGCGTGTTAGTGTTGTGGTATATGATCCACGATTGAACCTCTTCCAACAACTCGAGTTATTGGGAGCAACTGGTTCATGACAACTCCAACCCTCTGGTTTGAAAGTCAGCGATGCCAATCAAGTGCTAGAAGTGATATTCATCATAGAAGGAACATATATTCGAATTTCATCTGTTGGCTGTTAGAGGGTAATTATTACACTACTTGCCCTGTCTCGTATAAACAATTGGGTGTCGTTGGTGTTTCTTAGTTTCATTTGTTTTGACTGATCATTAACAGTTAGTGAACTTGAATGTTGGAGGTGTCAAGTTAGTTTCCTTTCTCCTTAAGTATCAGCTATAACTAGGAATGGCAATGAGGCAGGTCCGGGGAGGGTTTCTTGGTACCCAGACCCGCTTTGTGACAGGTCGGGTCCAGGTAGGGTAATTTATCACGGGTCCCAAGTCGGGGCAGGTCGACCCAATGGGTATGTAATTTGTATGAAAAACTTTAGAAATATTCGTTATTTTTATTATAAGACCAAGAAAACAAACAATATTATGATAAATGTAGTTAAATTATTAGAGAAATTGAGGTTTTCACTAATTTACAACATTATTATAGCTAAATTATGATGTAATAAAAGAAAATTCCTAAGTAATTTAACTAAGATTACATGTAATTTAGGCAAGAACGGGTCGAGAATAGGGTGGGTCAGGGCAGGTCGGGTCGATAAGAGTACTCATGCCCGTCCCGCTCCGCCTACGGGGCGGGGCAGACCTGCCCCAAAACAGTTGAGTCGGGTAAAACGGGTCAGGTCGAAATTGTCATCCCTAGCTATAACAAGTAGTACAAATAGTCACAAACTTATGTTGTTATTCTTGCAGGATTCAGAAGAAGCATTAGAATCTGGTGAGGAGACATATTTTCCTGCCATACGCACTGGCATGGATAAGTCCTGTACAGTGGTAATTTTTATTTCAAATATCTTTGAAATGATGTGCACAAGTTTCTTTCTTGAACTCTTTGAATTTGGATGCTGCATTCCGCCTTCGCTTTCCCCTGTCTACCATCATTATACATAATGTCTACCTTGTTTTCTTGGTCTGGGTTGTTACTTGAGCATTATCCTATGACAAGTATTTCCACAATTTCACATGTCGTGTATTTGTGCAATAGGCTACTGAGCTAAACGGTTCGGCTAACTCATTACAATTGTATCTATTTGGTCGTTTACCGATTTATGATTCATTACATCTGTACCTAAGGCATGTTCTGGATCTGGTATGTAAAGTGCTTACATCCTGTGATGATAACAATATTATTACAGGAATCATTATGTTATTGGCTTCGGTATGCTTTTCCCTGTTATCCTTTGGCTGGTTTCAATTCCGTGTGGACTCTTTCTATGACTCTTTCATTTAATGTGTAGTCTTTCTGCATAGACGACCGCACAAGAGATGAGCAGACCAACGGCGTCATGCCACTTGACAGAAACTCCGTACCCCTATATGATCGTGGATTTGTTTTGGGTCTGACATCAGCAGATGGCACAAACAATGCAGAAAGGTAACACTCTTTAAAAAATAGCCTTCAGGTAGTGTTTTCATGCTTTCAGTGAACTTGGATGAAACTTGTTCAATCACCATTAGTTGAGAATTTCTTTTATTCAGTAGGCTTGACCTGACTTGTGGAAGACATTATTTATTATTCATATAATATCTATGCCACTATTATGCTGCACCGTGTCATAAGTTTACAAAATATTGTTAAGGAAATGCTGTAACTGGGAATCTAGTACTTGAACACGCTTACTCACCCATGAAACCCCTTTGGACATGGGTGCGTGCATGTGAATGTAAAATAAGCCAGCTAACTTCCCAGGTGAAATCGCTAAGTAGACCAAGTTCCAGAAAACACTTGACAGTTGTAAATGAAAAAGCCCCTAATTTAATACATTAGTATTACTGCATGAATTGATTTCCACTTCTCGGGCCACAAGGATTTTATGTTCCTGCAGCTGTACCCGTCTTAATAATTCATTGTAAACCTCTGATAGGGTGTTTTGCTTGATGACTAGTAAGTAAGAAGTTATTATGGCTTAAACAATTCTGAACTAGATAGCTCTTACGACAGATTTCTGTATGTCACCTGGTCTCCATATTAAGAGCCTCAATCATGCTGTTGGTCCAAATCCCTTATTGTTTGTATTCTTTGGTATCTGAATTTAACAGAGGTCTGGAGATATTTGGTGATCCTGCACGGTGTTTTAACTGTGGGGCCTACAACCATGCTTTGAGAGAATGCACCAAGCCTCGGGATGCTGCTGCTATTAATAGTGCCCGCAAACAACATATGGCCAAAAGGAATCAGAACTCCCATTCTCGCAGTTCAATTCGTTATTATCAGAGCTCATCTGGTGGGAAATATGATGGCCTGAAACCAGGTGTCCTTGATGCTGAAACACGCAGACTTTTGGGTATTGGGGTAAGGTCCTTGGCAACTGTAGGCACGTAAACCAGTAAAAAAGGATCATATTGCAATTTCCATATGCCTGTCTGTTCAAATGTTTCTATTTGGTCCACGTACTATTTTGACTTTTTGTCCCGACTTTCAAATATCTGAAGAGCTTTTAATTTCTCCAGTAGTTCCTTGACTTTGTGGATGCATGAAGATGCCTGGTCCTTCTACCTTTCACTAATTGTGATTTTGACTGCAGGAGCTTGATCCACCCCCTTGGCTAAACAGAATGCGAGAGCTGGGATACCCACCTGGATATCTAGGTAATGAAACCACTTCCATTGGGATTTGGGAATATTGCATTCTCAATTCAAGCTTCCATTCTGTAGACTATTTCAGTGTTATCACCGGTATGATATTGTTCCACTAAAGGCACTGGGCTTGATGCAGAGCAATCGAGTAACTTACCGGCCAGAAGATCATATGACCTTTTGCATTTAGTTGGGGCATTGACTAGATTAGACATTTATTAAAACATAATGATATTTTCAGATGCCGACGATGAAGAGCAACCGTCAGGAATAACAATATTTGGCGAGGAAGAAGCCATGGTCGTCAGTGAAGAACAGGAAGAAGGAGAAATAATAACGGGAAACAATATTCCCGAACCTCCTCTGGAGCCACCTCGCAAGATGAATAAGACCATTGAATTTCCTGGAATAAATGCACCAATCCCAGAGAATGCAGATGAAAAGCTCTGGGCAGCTGGTTGTCCTTCGTCTTCAAGTTCTGATACTACTAATAAGAACCGACCGTCACAGCGTAGTGACCACTCAGGAGGCAGATATTACCACAGCAGCGAACAAAGATGGCCTAGAAGAAGTTTCATGGATGATGATGGGCCACCAGGCGTTGACCCGGTATCAAACCCTTCTATGTCGAGTTATCCTCCAAGACATGGAAGTTACCATGCAAGCCAATATGGTTTGGACAGCCCTAGGGAACTCATGCTTTCCTTTGCAAGGTCGCACTCTGATAGAGAACGGAGGAGCCCTCCCAGGTATGAAGATTCTTTTGGGAGTCACTCCTCATACCACCACTCGTACCAGTCAAGATACGAGTACGAAGCGGATGATCGATGGGATGGGCGTAGTCGGGATCGTCCATCGGACTATGAATTTGAGGATCATAAGTCTAGAAGGTAAAGAAGGGGAAAGAACACGGATTATTAGCACCTGACTTGTAATAGTGACTTAGCTAAAGATGTCCAATTGTGGCAGTGGTGTTGTAAAAGTGCCTCATTTTTTTTCTAGGTCATAACAATAAACATGGTGTCTAGGCCTGGTGTGAAGAATATTTACTGATAGAAAAGCAGGTTGACTTTTGTTGTTTGGTTGTAGTGGAACTGAAGTTGGCGAGTGATTATTAGCTACGTTTAGAATGCGAAAAGACCAAATTTTCAACCCAGGTAGGAGGAATCCCGGATCCTAGACAGATGTTTAAGCTTTGATTACTGATTAGTCACAATTTGTATGGTGCGCATAGTATAATTCTTGAGCATGTGCTCAAAGGGTGGGGGATTAGGTCACATAAACAGGAAAGAAGATCTCTCTCTGATATATTGTGGTTTCATGGCTAGATTCTCATAGCATGGGGGATTTGAGCTATTCTTAGTGCTTGCCTCGCTGATATGGTTGAGACTTGAGTTGGAGTAGCAAGCTTAGATTTAAATGCACCAAATGTACATCCTACAAACTCGGTCCAATGCACCACCTCCCTTGATTAACACACATTCAGCATTGATGTGTGTTAATCCTTACTCTATTAGCTAAGATGCACTTTCAGGAACTGTTTAGTTTAGATATTTCCTTTGGTCATACTCTGTTCCTCCTAAACTGCTTGTTTATCAATTCCTGAAAGCTGTCTTATTGAAAGGAAAAAGGGGCAAGGGTATTTGTTATCTAGTATCATCATTACTTTGACAAAGGGATAAGGGTATTTCTGTCTGGTGAAAATGCATTTGTATTAACACTCTGTTTGGGAACCTAGTGCAAATGGTGGGGCTGCATAATTGAGGGGTAAGCACATAAATCGAAATATTTACCCCCATTTGGTTCTTTTACAACAGTGGCAGGCGGGTGCATGGCTGGGGGAAATCTACTGTTTGGGTAAGCCCCCAAATTGGGGAGTAAAACATTGTGGGGAGATATATTTTATTTTTTCATTTCTTAATTAGTCCTTCTTGATGTTGTCCCACACACATGGTGAGAGAGAAAGGGCCCACGCCCACTTGGAGAGATGAGGAAAGAAAATGAAATCAGATAGATGGTGAGAAAGTGTAAAAGAAAATAAATAATGTTATTAAAATAATTTAATATTTTTTCTAATATAAAATTATCATTAATATATTTGGATTTCCCAATTGCACCCTCCTACTTTGATGGCTCCCGTTCGTTTATTTCCGTTCATTTGATGGCTCCCGTACTAAACGCATATAAAACCCGTATAACACGTTTGATATCCGTATTTAATGAATTAAATTGTTCAAATTAATATTATTTATATATTTATTTAATTTTACAATAATTATTTTTTTATATATTTATGACTGTTAAACGTAACATTCGGTTAGTGACGAAGTAAAATATCCGTACGTATTTTTACACAACTTTTCCTTACCGTATTTTACTACCTATGTATAATACAACATTCATATTATTATATGTACTCTTTATATATAATAATCTAAAACTCTTTTTTACATCATCTTGCACCCCCTACTTTTTCATCCAAACAACAATTTACCCCTCTACTTGCACCCCCAGCAATTTGCACCCTCCAACAATTTGCACCTCAACTTGCACCCCTGCAATTTGCACCCCTTGTTGCCAAACAGAGCGTAAAGATCAAAGTGAAATAGTGTCTTGCTTCAAATTTTCAAACTCAGCTACGGTTAGAGTTTTGTCCTCGGTATTGACTTGTTTCCATAATTTTCCATGTCTCTTTCCCTCAATCACCTAGGGCAAGCCATATTCCTGCTAAGGATGATTTTATCATTCTTCACTTGCAATTTGTTTGCACATAGGCTGCAAATTAGCAGAGTCGAGTCGAGTTTTACCCCAGCTTGAGCTCGGCTCGTTAATAACCGAGTCGAGCTCGAGCTCGTTTATTAACGAGCCGAGTCGAGTCGGGCTCGAACTAGCTCGTTTATTAACTAAAATCTTGACTTTTATTTGGTACTTCATTTTGTATATCATAATGCATATGATTTATTTTGTTAGCTAATCTCATATTTTACTTTGTTGGTATCATATATCATTTAGTTAATAAATTTTAACTACTCCAAATCATGTTATTCATAGTATCGAAGCAATTTATGATACATAATTTCTTTTTAAAGTAGAAAATAAGATATATTTGCTCACATACTCAACTTGTTTAACTTTATATATGGTGAGATATATTATTTAACAACCATATGAATTAAAATCATAAGATATAGATTGACTCGTCCGTAAGTTGGTAATCGAGTTGGCTCTCTAGCCACATGTTGAGACATATCATGAGCTCTAAACAAGCCAACTCGCGAATTTAGCTCAACAAGCCACCGAGTCGAGCTAGCTCGCGAGCTTCACGAGCTGAACAAAACTTAGCTTGTGTTCGACTCCTTTATTAACGAGCCGAGTTTCGAACGAGCTTTTGTCGAGTCGAACGCCGAGCCGCTCGGCTCATTTGCAGCCTTATTTGCACATACTGTAATAGATAAATTGTGTCAGGATGGCGATGGTTCTGTGCAGAATGTAAACTTTCAATTGTGTGGAAGGTATATCCTTTCAGACTTCGTTGAATCCTCTGCAAATGTACAATCGTTAGCAAACAGAAATAGTAGTGCAGTTTCACTAGGCTAGCTATGAGTTTGTTGAATGGTATTGAATTTGATTTTACAGGTGCCGCGACACCAAGCTAAGCCATCCGGAAGATGCACACATCTTAAATTTCCCACACCGGGAATTTGCAGGGATACGAAGAAGCTTTTGCTATATACCAGAGATGTGCACATACCGCTCCAGCTAACAGCAAACCTCAGTGGCAGAAAGGTATTATAGTTCAATTATACAGCAAGAAAGCAAATGATTTGAATGTATGAATTCTGTACACGGAATTTAAACTCAGTACTATCGAACAAAAAATCACACACACAGACACAGGTCCCTTCATTTCACCGGCCGTCGTTGAGCACAGAATCCGTACTAGACAACGAAGTGACGGTGGTGTAGTCCTTACCAACGACGGACGAAGGAAACGACGACGACATGACGAACTCCGACGTCTCCCTCCCTCCCATCGCAAACGCCCCGATCCCCGAGCTCTCCAACGGCACGTCGGGCAAGTTGCAGTCACCATCAAGGTACTGCATCACCTGCCTCATGCTGGGGCGGAACGCCGGCATGTTGTGGGAGCAGTACAGCCCCAGTTTCAGCACCGCTGCCATCTCCTCCCTGACATAATCCCCTTGCAGCTTGGGATCCCCTGCTTCCCAAATCGCCCCGCGCTTCCAGCAATCAATCACCCAGTCCACCAGGATCATCTCCTCGGGAAGCGCCTGCGTGTCGATCGGGCGCTTCCCGCAGGCGACCTCCAGCATGAACACTCCGAATGCGTACACATCCGTCGCCGTGGTGGCCTTCCCGAGCCGCGAGAGCTCGGGAGCCAGGTAACCCACGGTCCCGACGACGTGCGTGGTCTGCGGGTTCGTGCCGTGATCGTACAGCCTGGCCAGCCCGAAATCGCCTAACCGGCCGTTGAGATCTGCGTCGAGCAGTACATTGCTTGCTTTAATGTCGCGGTGGAGAACTACTTGCTCCCATTCCTCGTGGAGGTAGAGAAGCCCTGAGGCTACGCCTCTCAGGATTTTGTACCTTTCGCTCCAATTCAGAATCGGCTTGTCTTCCGTGAAGAGGAATTTGTCCAGGCTGCCGTTGGGCATGTAGTCGTAGACCAAGAGCAGCTCGCCCTTCCGCCGGCAGTAACCTAGCAAGTGTACCAAATTCCGGTGCCGGAGCCTCCCCATGCTCACGATCTCCGCCACGAACTCCTTCATCCCCTGCCGCGAATCGTGGGAGATTCGCTTCACGGCGACTTCGAGCTTGGATTTAGGGAGGATTCCTCTGTAGACTTTGCCGAACCCGCCCGACCCGAGAACCTCCTTCTCTTTGAACCCGTGGGTCGCTCGGTACAAATCTTTGTAACAGAGCCGCTGCGGGTTGTATTCCCTCTCCCAATCTTCCGTCAGCTCTCTGTACCTTCTCAATCGGATTAGGTAAGCTCCCACGGCGATTCCCGCGAGGGAGATGGCTAGGATTATGAGCACGACCGTCGGCGCGGTGCCTAATTTCTTCGCCTGCTTGGCGGGGCGGGGGGAGATTGGGAGATTGCGGAGATCCAGCGGCGGGGGTTCTTCTCCCCCGGTTTTGCTGAAGCTCCAACCGAGGATGTACTGCGCGCTCGTGACGGTGCTGGTGGAGGAAGAGAAGCCGACGTACATTGATTCGACGAGGTAGGAGGAGAGATCGACCGGCGTGGAGATGAGCGGGCGTCTAGGTTTTGGGGTAAGGAAGGGAGCGACGGTGATGTTCATCCTCTTCTGTCCGTCGTCGTATTGAATCCAGATCTGGATCCGGTCGGCGGAGAGCAGGCGGAGGGTTCGATTGACGCCGTCGGAGTCGGAGACGTAGGAGACGGGAGCGGAGGCGGCGGAGATCAGGGTGTTGAGGTCGAGGCCGACGTGGTTGTCGTCGATGTCCTGGAACTCGGGGCTGCGCATCGCGTCGAGCTCGACGGCGACGACGTGGTTGGAAGCGTTGCCCATGTTGGTGGTGTTGAAGAGGCCCAGGTGCTGGCTGGCGACGGCCTGGCTGAAATCGGTGGTGGGGGAGATGGTGAAGGCGATGCCGTGGCCGCCCGTGTTGGCCGATTCGGGGACCATGGCGAAGACGAAGGTGGTGGAGAAGGAGAGCGATTCGGACGGGACGGAGGAATTGGGGTCGAATTTGAACGGCTGGTGGTGGAAAGCGTGGCCGGTGACGAGCTGGGTGTAGTTGGTGAGCTGGAGCAAGCCGTCGGGGAGGATTTTGGACTGGTTGTCGACTATCAGGTTGGCTTGCCGGAACCCATTGTAGGTGAAGCTGCTGGTTTGTGGGGTTTGGGAACTGGCGGTGGAGAAGTGTGTGGAGAAAAGGGTAAGTGCTGCCAGAAGTAGAAATCCCATGATAGCAGCTGGAGAAGACGCCGCCGCAGCAGCAGCCATGGATGAGATGTGAGCTTTCTTTCCTTAATGAGGATGATTATCTATAGCCTGCCTGCCTTTGTGGAATTTGGGGCTAATACGGGTTGCTTTTTAGCTTTAAGCATGTGTGGATTTGTCTTTGTGGAAGAGAGGAGGAAGAAGTTGAAAGTCAAGAAGTCGTGGTCTGATTGATGGACAGTGAAGTGCCGATGATCGGCGGCAATGATTTTCTACCACAGAAAACGAGCAGTCAGTCCAAATTCCCATTTGGGTCCGCTGCTGCTTCTATAATCTATGCACTAGACCTCCTCGTCGACGATTACGACAAGTGACAAAGAGGAAAGAGTATTAAATGTAATCAGTAGTCAGGTTTATCCTCCCTTTCTCCATTCCTCCAAACATCTAACAGGACGACCATTCTAATAACTTATATAAGCACTTTGTAAAGTCTGTGACTGCGATGGAGTTGTTTGAATGACGATAATTGGCTTTTTATTTTATTTTATTTTAAATATATTAGGTGATTTCATATTTCATTATTTGTCAAATTTTATATTAGAAGCATACATTAAGTACCACGTACAATGCAATTGGACAAGAATATGTGATCCGAGTGTGTGATGTAGTGTGGTTGATAATATAAATCTGGAGCTAAGAAATGAACATGAATGAATTCAATAAATTAGAGATGTATAACGATAGTATTTTTTTTTGTTTGACGATTAACAATAGTAATTAGGGTTGAGTAAATATGTATTTTTCTAGTGTATATCTGCTAGGTGTGGCTATACGGTCCGGTCTGGTTAAATTGGTCTGAATTGATCCGGTTCCGGTCCGGTTTTTTCGGGAATATGAGGACTAAAAATTAGATTGGATACAGTTCGATTTTGAACCGGTCCAGTCCCAATTCGGTCTTTATTTTAGATTGAGTTTGTGGGGATTTGAGTGGCCTGAGGCCTGAAAGGGTGAGGAGTTGGTTAAATTTTGGGTGTTGGGGTCTCTTATTCGATCTTTATCCGATTTTCGACCCGGTCCCGAACGGTTCTTTATCTCAAATCTAAGCCTGAAAATGAGATTAAATTGTTTGCTATCTGGTCTCGGTCTGAATTATACGATCCGGTTTCGGGTAAAACCAAAAAACCAAACCAAATAGTCACCCCTAATATCTGCAACAAGCTAATGTTGTTTAGTTGCCATCTCTTTGGTTGAGTCACTCTAGACATGCTCACAAAAATTGCAGTACTTGTCCTCTTCAAGGAATTAGATCATTGGCCCGCAGGTAGGCAGATACACTAGTAGTGTTACATAACAACGCCCTGTTATTAGTAGCCAGAACAACTGGAGTCATTTTCTTGGGTTTTTTTTATTTTACTGATCTTGTATTCAATTTCCTTGAGCTTTATTTTTAATGAACGCTTTTCTTTCAACACTAATTCAAGAGTAATAAGCAAATTGTCAGTTTCTTATGTTGAGAAAACTTTAGTTACGATCACTTTTTCCCATTGGAACGCCATAGATTCTTCGGAAATCTTCTGGTGTAATGAGAAAACTTTATGATGTACTTCAGTGCAAGCATGTTTCTGCTCATGTTAGAATTTAGTAAACTCTTCAATGTCTATTGTTTTTAGTTGTTCTACCATTCACTTTGGTATCTTCTTCACAAGTTTATGTATTCTTGCAAGATTGGCCCTTGATAATTTGTTGTACGAATAAGATGTTGTGCTTTGATAATTTGTTATGCATGTAAACATAAACAACCTTATGCAAATGAGAGAAATTATTGGAGAGCCTAAATGCTACGAGGTTCTCAAAGAAATTAATGTATAATCATTATATCATGGTCTTACCACTATGACATAAATTTTTTACATCATATCCTGATTTTAGCCCTATGGCAAGACATCATATGTGTCATCATAATAATATTATGATCTCACCATTATGGCAAGATTTCTATTGTTTCATTTTATTATCATTATCATCATATCATGATCTTATCAAGATGTTGATACTCATTTTGTATCATATCATATGATCTTAGCTCTTTGGCAAGACATCAGTTATGTCATACCATGATCATATTAAGGGGAAAAATCCCAGAATACTCAGTTATGTCATACCTCGGGGGCAGCCATGTTGCGCTTTGATGGATGGGGAGTTCGTGGCCTAACATCACGGTCACGATCTTTATCACGGACATGAACAACGAGAGGCGGGAGTAGACTATCAGAACTCTCTGGTCCTCTTTTGGATGATGCTTCTGAAGTTTGCGCCCTTGGCTACATTGTTCACGTTCGCGATCTCGACACTGGAGGTCTTGATCTACATGCTCAGCTTCACGCCCTCTCTTCTTGGGTGTGATCTCATTTCTCTTGGCCGTGATCTCTCATTTTTGCACATAATCCTACACTTGTGACCCCTCTTCGTACCTAAAATGATCATATCATCTAAAACACCCTAATATGACAATATTCTCTTCAAGTAACGAATTATGAATGTATTTGATGAAATATCAACCAATGAGACCACGAAATGACTCAGAACGACCCTAAATACTGGAGCTAAATAACACCATTATGGGTGTTATCACCTCCCCCACACTTAGGTGTTTGCTTTTCCATAATCAAACCTACTCTAACTAGTACAACTTGGTAAACAATCAACATGGTATGCACTATAGTTCTTCGTTGCACTAGTTAGAATATTCGAGGGTTGATTGCAGTGAGAATCCGATTGGTGGGAAGAGATGGACACACGTTCTTGCAGAAGCACCTACTATTGTTGGATCTTCTTTAGGGGTTTATGTGGCTTCTTCAGCAGCGCTGCCAGCACTTGGTGGGATGGCTTCCATGCCAAGAAGCTATCCCAGATTACATTTTCCTTTTGCACCTCGATTGTTCGTTCCTGCTAAGATTGTTCCATATGGTATCTTGATAGCTGGACATGGGGGCAAAAACTCACAATTTCGACAACCTATTGTTGGAAACATGGGAAGTCGGACTCACCACTTAGATATGCTGGTAAGTACCCCCACTGTCCAGAGGTTTAGTACTGGGAAGAAACTTCCTTGTCCCGGACTCAGGAGTATGAATGATTTCTTTAACTTATTGAAGAAGAAAGCCTATAGAAATGCTTCTATAGTGGTGACAAAATATATAACTGGTGTAGTTTTCGTCTGCTGGTGGCAAGGAGAAACCAAATGTGGCATTGAGTAAAGAATTGACTGGTGATTTGGAAAGTTATCAAGCTCGAGTAAATGGGCAAGTTACTACTATGCCTTACAAAATGGTGGTCTGGTTGATTGGAATCGGATTTGATAATGTTGTAAAATGATTTAATGAATTAGCAAGATGATAACGATACTAGGCGTGCCTTTTTAAAGTGCAAAAGGCCAGAAAACAACATCTAGGTTTGACAATATTAAGAGGCAAAGCACTGCATATGAAAAATTGTCAAGGCATACTGTTGAATCTTTAGGGAACGATCTTTCATCATTTAGGCATAGTTGACCTAACCAGAGTTCTCATTTTGCTGAATCTAATATTTATCATGATGATTTAGGCATGGATGCCACATGTGAGGAATTTAATTATATTTTGGGTATGCATGAGATGCATTAGGAAGAGGAAGATCTTGTCAACATGACGCTTCTTCTAGTAGCCTTGGTTTTAATGGGCAAGTTCCTCTTCCACTGAACTTAGTTGTAAGTCATGCACCTTGGCTATACCACTTTCTTCTCTAGCTTCTATGGAATATCTTTCAAAGAATTTGGGTGGTATGTTACCCACAAATATCCCATTGATGGAGTCTCCTTCGTATTTTACCACTTTCTTCTCGCAAGAGAACGTCTCAACATTCAAGATGACAGACAATTCCATTGATTTTTTTTGTTGGAGTAGCGTTTCCTACCAAACCCTACTTTGGTTTTATGGATTACAAGGAGGTCTCGAATCCTTGTGATTGGGACTGAGTTTGGCAGAAAGTTCATGGGTATTGGTGGGAACGAGTGAAGTTTATAGGATGGTATGCTTGTCCCAACTTCAAAGAACCCTACAAAGACCTTGAAATCATGAAGATAGGTGACCATGTTCAAATCGTAGTACTACTAGTTGATATGCCCCATGGAGCATCTGGTGCTATTGAAGAAAAAATGGTGGGAGACGTGCATCAACTTGACCCTGGATATTGATTGAAACTCTTTCTATTCTGAATTTTGCAACCTTCTTACCTACTTGTTCATACATAGGCTGTGTTGGACAGAATGAGCAGCATTTGACAAGTCTGGTCTTATGGGGAGGGCAGCCAACAACCATGATTTTTTGTGCTACATCAAATTCATTTCTTCACGGGAGGGCATTGTAATGACTAGGATTGATTATAAGACATATTAGTTTGAGGGCTTTTTTGTAATTGGTATGTCATAAAAAATGGGAATCTTCTGTAATGGGAGGATATCGAACAACATATCATAATTTTCCCTCTCTTCTCCTTCTTCTTTCCATGTTCTTCTTCTTCCTCAATCCTTCAATTTATCTTCTAGTTATTTAATCCGCTTCTATATTCAATCAATTCCATCTATAATTATCAGAATCGATCCTCATCCGACCTCGATCGTTACACTTTATCGTTGGATTTTTTTGCCTCCCTATCCACCGCAAGAGCCTCAATCTAGAGAAAAAAATGTTCAATCCTTTTTGGCGAGATAGACCTCATATTACGAGAGGCACCAACCCCTTGGTCTTGATTTTTGTTTCGACGGACCTTTCTTCATTTTCCAACATCCACTCTCCATACATCTTTTTATGTTTATTGATAGGTTCCTGTTTGGTTGTTCAATCCAACAAGGTAGGTGAGTCTGTCGTATGAAGGGTGGGCCAATTTGCTTGAGAGTGGCCATAAATTCCACACTCAAAGCAAATGTCAGTCAATCGTTCATACTAGATATCATATTCAATTTCTTCCATTTATACAATGATAATAGGATTTTGTGAGATCAACCTCGAAGTAAAGTCCTCGATCAATTGATCATGTAACCAGATCCATACTAGCATTGATTGAATCTCACATGTGTGCTACTTACCCTTCTTACATTGGTGGGTAGTCAGGTAGTGGTCTTCGATAATCCAGAGGCGTCCTATCCAGGCATTCTCATAATCAGTTGTTCTCCTGAACCATGACATGTAATAGTGATAGATTTGATTTTTTATTTATATAGTCTCACTCTTCGCCCAAAGCATATTCAGCCATTTGGCCACTACCTAGTACGAGTAACCGAGGACTTTGCCGCCTAGGGCTGATCGGCACTTGCGCATGCACTTGCGTAGTTCGGTTGGTGATAAAGAAATATTCAAACATCGTGGATTTTTGCAAGAAATAGTTGAGCATCGTGGGTTTTCACCTTTTGGGATCAGGTCATCTCTATCATCCTCCCGCATAGCCTAAGCTACATCCTCATAGTCTGAATCA